ATATCTCAACAACGTTGTTGATTTGAAAATGTTATCCATATAATCCAGAAAAAATCAAAAATGAATAAGCGACGAAAAGCCTGGCATGACTCACCTGCTGTTGACTTCGACTCGCGTACCATCTCGGGTTAATCGTTCATACTTCTCACCATTCAACTCTTTATCTCTGAGAAAGCGGACAAAGTCGTCAAGTGCTTCACGGATAAGTGTGATTGTGAGCACGAAACCCTTAATGCGGACATGAATGCACAGACTTCATTCCAACACCTCTTTGCTATTAATAAAGCCGCTGACAATGTAGGAAGCTAAAGTACTCTGTGCTTGAGCATTGATCATATGTGTTTCCGATACGAACCCAACTACAAATGATCAAGCATCAGCAATAATGAGACTGGTAGCTGCTAAGGCGAAAGAGGGAGGAGACAGAGGTGTAATGGTCGAGAAGGTAGGACTGTGATAAGGAAGGCAGCAGAGAGAAGAAATGGATATAAAAGTGGGATCTATGAACGTACTCACTGAGCTGACACCAGTGAAACCATAGATCGAACTCACCAACGGTCCCCAGTAGGTTATAGGTGCACCGATTTGGATAGCAGGTATGAACTGACTGCATGCCATCAACAAGAAATATAAATTCAAAAAGAATTTAAACTGTTGAAAAAGGACCTGAAATATGTCCATGGTACACTCAATCCAAAAAAACTTATTGACAAATTAGATCACTCAAATGGCATACCAATGGAACAAAGCTGAAGATATTGTATTTCTGATTAGAGACTTTGTTCGGAGCAAAACCACCCCCTTGGTCGCCGCCCACTGGACCATAGCCGATTCTTACAGTGCGAGAATGCAATACGCGGCGACGACCAAAACAACATGCGGCAGCATCTGAAGAGAAGAAATTATATTGTACTGAATCAAAATAGTGTCGAAAAGCAAAAGCAAAAAGGTTAGAACGATTGATAAGCAAGCAAAAGTGACGGAAGAGAACCTACGCCATAGCATAAGTCATAAAAACTTGTTGGGGTGTGAAATTCTGTTTGAATTGTCATTACAGAGTTGGCTTTGAATCGACTTGCGTTTGATGCTGTGCTTTTCACAAAAGCTCTTTGTAATTACGCTTACGGCAATGAAGATCAAACAGAGGTTCGTCTTAGGAACATGAAATTAGAAGAATTGAATCAAAATGTTGCGCTATAAAAACACATCTTACACAATTTCACCTAATATGCCGGCATAATTGAAATCAGGAATGAATATATTTAATGTCTTTTAGACCGATGTCATAGTTTGCGAATCGAGCGATTCGCCAGCGACTCGCTGGATCCATGCGTTGCGCCAGCGAATCGAACGTTGCACCAGCGAATCGACCGATGCACGCGAATCGAACGATGTGCCAGCGACTCGACACTGTTTGAAGTGGTTTAAACGTTTAAAGGAAGTCCACTTGAAGGACCACACTATTTGAAATTGGCGGGACTTCCTTTATAGTGATATTGTGGTGGTTGATACACTCACAAAAAAACTTCTTTGGCCAAAAACTCGGGAATAAAACTCTGCTTTGTGGAAAACGGAAGCAGTAACATCTTGCCGCAGACCCATGGAGTTTAAAAGCACATCTTCCGATCAGCCACATGTGCTGGGTAGCATTGCTTGCACACGAAAATGGAAGCATGGGTGCGAACTTGACCGCTTGACCGCCGAACTTGACTGTTGAATGAAGAAAGAAGTAAAAGAACCAGTCAAAAATGCCAAAATTAGAACCTGCTCACTTTTTTAGCTATACTGGCAAATGGAGAGTCTGAAGCACGGAGGAGAAAGGACAAGCAAGAGAATACAAGGAATGAGTGGGCGCAGACAGCCACATACTGCGAAGGGAAGAATGGAAGTGTTAGAAGCGGTCGTAGTGAGGTTCAAGCACGATTCCCACTCTCAAGCCGGAAAACGGGACATCTGCTAACATCGAGGCCCTATCTTGCCTCACCACAGATGGACCCACCTAAACTCATGATGCGGTGTGCCTTCAAAAAATGCCCTATGAAAACTGCCATCTAGTTCTGGACTACACTTCATATTGACTTTCGAGCCTAATTATCGCTGGCCTAACCTCTGATACGTGCAGGAGCCGATGTTTTTCTCGCAAGAATAAAAGGGTTACTCGAGCAACTTGGTATTAACTGTTCAAAGTTTCATAGATAATTCTGAACAAAGAACAAAGTATGATAAGGAAAGTGTACTTGGTCATGGCAAATGTGCTGGAACTGCGAGATGATACAGAGGGAAGAAGGTAAATGTCGTCCGATCCGTCCACAGGAACCTAAATGTGTGTATGAATTGGCTTTCGTGGTTTACAAATCGCAAACTTCTGGACATTATTTCGACTGAACATTCCTTTGGAAACCGCCTTAGCGAGTTAGTATTTAAAACAAAAGAAAATCGAATAAAATGCGTACATATCGAAAAAAAGGCACACTAAAGCAATCTTTGCGTTAATTCAAACGAAACAATCATTTCTTACCACTCAGGGAGAAGTATGGTTAGCTGCCGAAGTGTTTAACATGAAATCAAAAATCGAGAGAAAACCTTAATGAATGATATCGATTCACCGCTGGAAACCAACGTGTCTTGTTTCGATTTTTTTGTTTCCTAACAGCTATTTGCATAAGCCCGATCGCATGTGATCAAAAGTGCATTAGCGAATAGCGCATTGAATACAGAAATTCCGCCAGCTAATTCTCACTGTTTTTACAACGGATGCGAAGGAAATGGTGGCTTAGTCAAATGCCGACTTTCTGCTGTTGCCCTCCTTCCAGAAAAGACAATACACCAGGTCAAGAACCACAAGCGAACTCAAAATTGACCAGCATGAAGCAATTTATTCTTACTCTAATTCTTGTGATCGAAGCTCCGAATTAGGGGTGCGTATAAGGTCTGAATTTCATTATAAGAACGAATACAAGGCGTCAAGCGTTGCTAGTTCCTGAAGACACGCCAGGCACAAGACTTCATGCGGTATTAAAGGAACAATTCCTTGCGTGTTTCTGGGAACGACTGACATTTATACAAATATACCGCATATAAATATAGTAATACCTACGCCGCTCAAAAATGTAACTATAAATAAGACAACAACCCACTAGAACTCGGCTGCCTCGGAATTCGATACCTCCTGAATGATGTTGTAGGGAAATAAAGGAATACGCATGTTAATAACTGTACGTTTGAGAACAAGATTGTACATGCTTCACAACCTTGTGCATATTATGCGCTTACCGAGAAGTTTTAGTTCATCCATCTTAGGGTTGGTTATCCCAACCTCGGTACTCCAACCAAAGTCGCTATTTAGAATGTTGCGTGCTAAAACGATATGCCAACTTTGGTCGACTAATTCTACAAATTTGTGCTTTGTTGCATCCTGCTTCGACTACCCTACCATTTTATTTGAATTTACATGAACAGGGTGTCCCATGAATGTTGCACCACACTCTGCGTGTCGCCTCCTTCAGACTATCGACTCTATCAAAGCTTGGCATGTAATATGTGACTTTCCAACCTCTGAATAAGGATTAGCCGATTACGTGTCCGTACCTCAGTAGAAGTAGTCGAGCTTTGGGCGCGCCGTAAGCTGGAATCAGCACCGCCCAAGAATATCCGCACGGCCCGCGGCTCTCAAAGAGCAAAAAGAAAACTCGATACCGATCCTTAGCTGACGGATGTTTCTGTAACCAAGGTCACTAGCCGCTTTGGAGAAAATTATGGACTCCTTAATAAGACGGCCTCCTGCTCAGAGAACGGAGTGTTCCATAGCTGTTGCCGTGCCACTCTTTCCGACTTCATATCCTTGAGCGAATGGCTCACCTGCCCCACAACCTCGAGTCTTTTTCAATCGCTCTGGGCCCACTCGAAGGAGAAAGCCTGTACCAAGCAAGTCCTAAAGGAGCTAAAGCCCTTTCCCTGCAAAAATTGGAGGGGGTTACCACAGACAACACACAGTGGACCACATGAGAAGCACCTGAGAGCCATCGTCAGGGCAACACGTTGACATGAATAAATATTAGTGACAATAATGGGAATGTTTGAATAAAAATTGCCTAATTGCCGGGCACTATTTATGAATAATTAATGCTTTAGAATCACGCCAATTAAGCGATCCTTTGCTCATGCTCTAGAACTTTCGGAGGGGAATATTAACATCTGTTGAAATTTAAATCGTAATGGAAATACCATTTCAGATGAGCTGATCGCCAACTTCTGGATTAGTTGTGCTTTCGTACGAAGTTCGTTCTCAAGGCCCCTTCTCAAGTGCAAACAAAGAAGCACGTTTTGAAGAATTTGCAAGCTCGGAATATTTTGATATGACCAATCTTGAGCAAATCCGATAAAAATCATGATCAATTACGAATTTGAACGCTTTCCAAGTGTTCGCAAAAGACCCGAAGAAGAAAAGCTTCAGTAGGTGTTTTGAGAAGAAAAATGGCCTAATTAGCGGAGTTGGCAGCCTTGAAAACCCAGAACTTCCAACGTCGGCTTTTCATGTAAGTCGAATTGAATGCATGTTTTCGACGCTAATTAAATGTAGACTGCATTGATGGAATAAAATAGCAGTTTGATCGACGCTAATTAAATGTAGACTACGTTGAAGGAATGGAGTTACAGGTTTACAATTCAGATAGCTCACCTCCGAGTCAACCATGAGTGGAAGAAGTCGACTGGCTTCGTCAGCCTCCTCTTGGCAAGTTGCCAATCGGCTGTAGCGCATAAACCGCAAAGTCGTCCAACCACACTACAACGCCGTTTTAATAGCGTGTAGCTGAAAAATCGAAATGATATGAGTAAAGTCGATAATAACTTCTCAGACAATAGTGAGTAATCGTCGAATGAGATTCACGGAAGAAAAGCACGAACATTTCCAAAAATCAATGTTCACTAATAAGTGATGAGCAAAAAAGGTAGTAACACGATGGTACTGTACCTCCTCAGAGTATTACTCTCCGTGTAACTCGCGGCTTCTGGAAAGTTTTTGACGTGCAAAAATGAAACGATGTATTCATCAGAATTAATACTATTCAACTGTCATAATCTCGTGCCCTTGCAGCAGTGGAGCCCAAAAAAGTAAGCATTTTCGGCGGGAAGGCGGCAATTTTCTGCCCAGCTGCGCTGAAACTGGGTCAAAAGGCGCTGCCTCCAGAAATAAACGTCACATAGAGATCAAACACTGAATAGTCTCTACAGGTACGTTTACAGCAATTTAAAGTTTCACCTAACAGGCTTCTCCAACAGTTGTTCGATTCAGCGATTGCATTCGCAAGTATTGCGTGTCGTTATTCACATTGGTCACAATCGTACCAGTCGCATCGCGAGAACGCTCGGATGGCATACATTCAATCTTGAAAATTGCACGGTCGCGAGGTTGTGGGATCATAACGACTGCAGGGTCGCGCAATCGTCGAACCCCAAGAATTAGATGCGCATCGATCGAGCGACCGTTGAGATAGCACACTGGCCGATGTCAGACTTTGCGATTGGAGCGATTTTGCACCAATTGCAGGAGCGACGGGAGATTTACGAACTGATGGCGCCGAATTTCGGTGGTCGGCGGTGTAAATCTCCCGTCGCTCGCATCGCTCAAGCGATCCGTCGCTCCTGCAATTGGTGCAAAATCGCTCCAATCGCAAAGTCTGACATCGGTCACTGGCCGGACGCATAGTCGGTCGGACGACAGCAACGACTGCTGCTGTCGGACGACAGCAACGACTGCAGGTGTCGCATAAACCGCGGTCGCAAATGGAAGGCGACGCGGTCACCCAATGCAAACCCAGACAACACGTGACTGCGCGTGATCGTATTTCGAAAGTCCCACTGTAGTGTGGAATAGTAGCTGCGTATTGATCTGCGACACTTGCGTCGTTGCTGTCGTCCGACAGCAGCGGTCGTAAGTGTCGCATGTGTCGCAGATCGATACGCACCCAATGCTGTGCGACACTTGCGATCGTTGCTGTCGTCCGACCGACTATGCGTCCGGCCTAATGACGCTGATAGGCCGATTTCGCAGTTTGTGAATCGAGCGACTCGCTAGCGAATCGCTGGATCCGAGCGTTGGGTCAGCGAATTGAAGTTGCACCAGCAAATCGAACTTTGCGCCAGCGGATTGACCGATGCACAGGCGAGTCGAACTATGTACCAGCAAACCCAACTCTGCTTCAAAATTGGCAGGCCCAACGTTTAGGAAGTCCGCCACGACTGGGTCGGAACAAAAGGTGTCGATGCGCTGGTACACCGTTTGACTCGTTGGTACATAGATCGACTCGCTGGTGCAACGTTCAATTCGCTGGTCCACCGCTCGGATCCAGCTCGATTCGCAAACTATGACATCGGCTATAGCCGGACGTCCGATCGTAACCGTCGAATGACCGACTATTGAAGGAGAGACTTCACGATGAGGTAATAGAGGGTCAAGGAAGGAAAAACTTACCCGCCCTATGGCCACGGCCAGGCGATGGAAGTGAAAATACCTCGCCAGGACGACAGGGTGCAGCGGTTTCGAACGTACAACGACGAACATAAGCGGGAAATTAAAAGATGAAGAAGAGCTACCACATGATGGCTACTACCGCCACCTGCTCCTTCTTTTAGCAAGCGACGGCATATACTGCTACAGAAGCATCGACCACCTCGTCGTCGGCGCATGTGATCATAGATCAAAAGGTAAACGTCAGCAGAATTTAAGCTGTTTAGTTTGCTGCTTTCGGGCTGATTCTGCTTACTTCGGAATTTGCCCAATAGAGCATAAGTAAGTAGTGAGCATAAGTGTACTTTCTGTCTGCCAATATTCAATGAGCTTTCCGGTATAACAGATGCAGATATCCTTAAGGGCCGATGTCAGACTTTGCGAATCGCGCGATTCGCTAGCGTCTGCGGTCGCGTCGCGGCCAGTGAATCACTCAATTGGCTGGTACCGCAACGCGACCGCGGACGCTAGCGAATCGCGCGATTCGCAAAGTCTGACATGCGATCATACCTAAGTTACCACGCTTCCCAACCCTTCAAGGTGGCATGTTTCAAAATCACTCCTGTAAGGATAAAAACAATGAGATCCACACCGGTTGGGTTCCCCAAGTTATTTTATAGATCAAGAATGTTGACACTACGACTTTGACTTACGCTTGAGTGCGTAGCGACGAAAAGAAAAGCCGAATTTTGTTCAACCCCAAATTGGTAAGGCCGAGTTGTGGTAATACACTAGCACCGGTCTTTCAGAAGAAAGGAATATGTAAGCGATGCAGTACCAATAAAAGTAACTGCGAGAGATAGGAATTACAAGTTTTGCTGCTAAACGCTAGGAGCTGACGATGAGAGCTGAGTACCAACACGCTAGAACAACTGCTTTACGTCTTCAGCTGAACTCATTTCCCGCTAACGCTTGAAATATAAGAAGATTAAACCCTTGAAATATCAATTTTACCATGGAAACTACTCTTTTGTCCTGACCGCAGTATGAGAAAACCAAACGAATCTTTCGCAAGAGTTACACCACAGCTTAAATGACTCATCTGAATCGTGGGTTGTTTTCAATGCTTGGAGAAATGATTTTGGATTGGCAACACGGCTGACTGCCCAGATAGACAGAGTTGTGAGGAGAATTACTAGATGTGGATGTACATCACCCAAGCCTCACTTGTAGGTCGTGAGGGTAGTTCCACGTGACAAAGTTCAAGGATCAAGCAGTTGACCAGAGGTAAGAATTAGTTCTGCTTTGGTTAGAAAGTCATCACAGCAAACACAAAAGAGCAACGAAAACTATAATGGAATGAATGTAGACCTAGCAGAAGCGTAGACTAAAAGAGGAATTGAGTGAGTAGTCCGAGAATGAACGCGGTGAAGTCCGTCGTCGGCAATGTCGCGAATTCGCATTGGAGCGCGTCATTCGCTGGGCGCTATTGGTGTGAACCCTCGAACAAACATTTCGATCCGGAACGCATCCAGAACGATCCGCCCTGGAATGAGCGAACCGCCCCCTTCGAGTGAATTTCGACCCCTTCCAGCGCATTTCAGAGGTAGGTTTTGAAAGTGACATCTCCTATGAACTTTAGTTGGGCTGGGGCATGTTTTCACCGCCTAATGACCAAGTGGTTGAAACCCTGCCTGGACTGTTGCTTTAAGAGATTTCGTCCGCAAAAAAAACATCTATTTAAACGTAAGGATGGCAAAATGGGAGGCTTAAGGTATCTGATGAGCGCAGAAAATCCAAGTCCTGTGTCGAGAAACGCGCTGGGAAGAAGTCAGGGCAAGAGAATTCAGGGAAGGTGTCACACAGGGTCAACCTGTGTGACACCTCCCCTGAATTGAGTCTCTCGGGGGAGAGGCCGTATTTGGCTCACGGGGTCGTAAGCGCGATGATCGGCAGTGGAAATTCGTTACGAATCGGACGTTGGACATGAGGATTAGCAAAACCAAAGACGCTGAAATGTTCGCCTAATACAGTTTACCAACAAGACACAAAGAAGATATCCATTTTGCCAAGCGCCCAAAAAAGAGGTCAAACTTAAATTCTGAAATGTGTCAGTGAATTGGAAGCATGGCGCACACCATGAGAGGGGTCGTTAGTGCAGAGCGTATAACACGTTGATGACATCGCGTGTTTCGGCTTTTTCCGCCTTTTGGGACAGATATTGTTTTAGAGAAGGGCGGTAAAGAACATCAGAAACGAGAAAACCTGTAGTAGCCTCTATGTTACCCTAGTTGAAAGCTCAACGTTTTTGCCAAATTGTTAATTGGAACAGTTTACTATTGCTGACTTTGTAAACTCTCTATTGACTGGCCCTGTTTCCACCATTTCGTCTTTCTCAGAAACCAAAAGTTCCACCACCAAGCATTAGCTCACGCCCTATTGATAGGACGTTAAAGGAAGCGATTACGATAAAGAGGGAGCGCATCGGGGAAGCATATGCACCACACGAATCAGTTACTTGGCTGCCAGGGAAGCGAGATGTGGCGCTTTCACAACGAAAGGTGCGCTGGTTGCTGAGCAGGACTTCGAAAGCGCTCCGCCCCCAAAAGCGATCCGCCCACTAGTTTACTTGTTGATTTGGACGAGCTGCGTGGCCAGCAGCGGCGAAATGGATCTCGATTAAAGCGTACTTTGGCATGGTGCCATCAAACGCGTTGCGGTGAACTCGTTCATACGTCCACTTTCTGAGCTGTTTCCTGCTCATGAGTGAAAACCAACGCTGAAAAGGGGGTCCGTTTCGCGTTTTCTTGACGGATTTGTCTGCTTTCTTTTCGTACGGCGTACCATTGAGCACCAGCACTTCACAGAGACCTCTTCTTGATTTATCGCAAGTTCGTTGCTTTATTATGAGCAAAATCGTTGAGCACTACTATTAGGGAGTGGGCTAGTGTAGCATTCAGTGAGGGTTCCAATTATAGACCTCGTTCGGCATATGTGCTTCATGACTGAAATCTCTTGTAAAGAACTAAGTTGTAACTTTTTGCAGGATTTTCCAGTAAATCTTTGGTAGTCGGTCCGCGAGCTATTGCATTTCATCCACTTCGTTCCCTAGAACAATATTTCACGTGTTTCAGTGTGAAATATGAAACGCCTGTGAAATGACATCCCTCAGGATCACACTGGGGTGTGGTTCTTGCACACGCCATCACCCTGCCTACCCTTTCCATTCAAGAAGCGAGAAAGTGTCGGGTGCAGACCATACACCACAAGTGACGGCGGCTTCCGAGTAAATCTGGTGAGTAGTGGTTCAC